ACATAGAACTAGCAATAGTTAGAGACACCCAGGGCTCACCCCCTGGCGGCCTTTGCCCTGATCAGGGATAGTGGAAAACGTGCAAGTCACGAGCCACGGCCGTAAAATATACACACACACACACACCTTTCATATTCGCAGGCAAGAGGAAAGCCCAACCGGTCCATCTAAACACTGCTTACGGCCCCTATCTCGATCTCCGCCTTGGAGGCTCATCTTCCTCTTTCAGTCAGAAAATGTCCACTCCAGAGCAAAGCTCACCGAGATCACCCTTGCGAGCCGCAACAAGGCCTACACGGGTGCTGGCGTGCGTCCTTTGTCAACAACGCAAGGTCAGGTGTGACCGTGGGTTTCCCTGCGGGAATTGTAAGCGGGCCCAAGCACAGTGTGTGCCTGCTACACAAGTCCGGCGACGCCGCAGGTTTCCCGAGCGAGAGCTGCTGGAACGTCTTCGGAGATATGAAGATCTGCTGCGCCAGAACGATATACAGTTTAAGCCCTTGCACACTTCTGTTGTAGAGAAGGCATCTTCCAACAGGAATAATAGAAGTTCTGATACAGCTAGTGGTGAGATTCTGGAGCAAAGTTTGGGGGAAAAGGGGACCCCGGGATCAGGGACAAAATACGAGGCCAAGTCAGCTTTCTCTCGCCGCACACCATTCTGTGGCTAATTCTAGCAGGAACTTCTGGCGGGTTATGAATGAAATGGTATGAATAACTCTGAGACTGATCCTCAGCAGCACTGACATAAATGGACAGTCTGTTGACGCCGAAGCGGATGATACTAATGACAGCGACGAGAGTAACGAGCACAACAAATCTCGCAACGGCGTCCGTGAGGCCTTCTTCAGACAGACTTGGGAAGAAGTGTACGATGGCGGCAGTCAAACTCTCCTGTTTGGTTCGCGCAGGTTTGATGTCAAAGTTTCAACATTGCACCCGAAGCAGGTCGAGATCTTCCGACTCTGGCAGATCTATCTGGACAATGTCAATCCGCTGCTCAAAATCACCCATACTCCTACCTTGCAAGCACGGATCATCGATGCGGCCGCTGACGTGGCTAAGATAACACCGACTCTCGAAGCACTCATGTTCAGCATCTATTGCGTCGCTATTCTCAGTCTGTCAGACGACGAGTGCCGGACCCTGTTTGGATCTTCAAGGGACGATCTTCTGAAGGGCTACCACTTTGCTTGTCAACAAGCCCTCTTGAACTGCGAGGTGCTACGTACAGGTGACCGTGACTGCTTGACGGCCCTGTACCTCTACCTGGTAAGGGCATTGGAATCGCAGCAGGCCAACCACTGACGTTTCCAGATTTCGGTCCGACCCGACACGGATCCTCGCTCTCTGTCACCTATCCTGAGCGTCGCCATCCGTATCGCACTACGCATGGGTATCCACACCGAGTCTAGCTATACCAGATGCACCACTCTAGAAGGTGAAATGCGCCGTAGACTGTGGTGGTCGCTGGTCATGTTCGACAATCGCATTTGCGAGATGTCCGACCACAAGGCCACGAATCTGCTTCCCACTTGGGACTGCAGAATTCCACTCAATGTGAATGATTTTGACCTGCGACCAGAGATGACGACCGGACCAGCCATGCATGGCAATCCGTCCGAGGCCCTGTTCGCCGTCGTGCGTAGCGAGCTGGGCAATTTTGTGCGCCGCAGCGCGTTTCATCTAGATTTTACCAACCCGGCATTGAAAATCGTGGCCAAGGAAGACCCTCTTCCCGCGGGAGGCGATCTGTCTGCCTGCGAAAGGATGATTGAAGGCAAATATTTTGCCTCCTGTAACCCAGAGAACCCTCTTCATTTCATGACAATTTGGACAACGCGGGGTTATCTGGCGAAGAATCGTCTTCTGGAACATTATTCCCGATATTCGTCCGTACCGCAGACAGACATAGCGCGCGACAGGGTGATCTCCCACGCCCAGTGCATGCTCGAGTGTGATACCAAGCTTATGAACTCGCCTCTGACCAAAGGCTACCAGTGGTTCCTTCATCTCCACTTCCCCTTCCCCGCGTACTTTCACATCGCCCAAGACCTGAAGAAGAGACCTATGGCAGGGCACGCTGAACGAAGTTGGACAGTCATGAGCGATAACTACGACGCTCGCTTTGGAGCCATGGAGAAAATGAACCCATTTTTTGAATTTCTTGCCCGGATGCTTTTACAGGCTTGGGAGGCCCGCGTGGCAGTACTCAGAGATCTTGACAAGCCGCTGGAGCCACCACACATTGTGTCGGATATTAGATCCAAAATGAGTCAGGCGACATCACCCAGTCAGACAGACAATGCCGAGCAGTCCACCAGTGCCTTGACGGCGAATATGAACGACAGTTCGATGCCCACCTTCATGGACTTTGGTGGTTATGGCGTCCCGTACGGCCTGGAAGAACCAGGCTTCCTAAATACAGGCTATCCGGGCACACATGGGCATCCTGCCATGGATCTTGACTTGGACCAGTCCGATTGGACCACGGTGGACTGGTATCCGTTGCAAGGGCGAGGCTGGTGAGGCTAAGACGGCTTCTATGTGTGTCGTGGCCCCACAGCAGTGATCAATCCCACTTTCTAGTCTCCAATAGCTGGCCTTGGCAGTGGCCTGTACCACTAATTGCATCATACCATTGCCCGATGTCTCACATTGTTACATTTGCTTGCCCTGTTGTGGATCACTTCAATCATAGCCAAAGAAGTAAAGGATAAGGTGTGGCGCAGTTTTAGTGACCAGCCTAGTCGATATTGAGGCTATTCGGAAAATCCCGCAACCGGCCGATCAAAAGATTATTAGACCACTGTATTCCCATTGGGAATATTCTCTCCACACATTACCTACCTTCGGATCCTCGTACTAATCAAGTTCACAAAAGCACCACGAGAGGAAGATATATCGCGTTCTCTGCGAGCCCTCACAATGCCAACCTGGATCGATATCATCGACACCCTCAACCGGTTCACGCCTCCATTCGTCCTGATCAGTATGATCTTTCTCAACGCATTCAACTACTTCACATTCGACCGCGAGTGGTGCTTGGATTATAGCGTTACATTCAGGACCAATTGCATAGGGGCCATCTACCTTGCTTTCATCAACCCGAGGACGTCCATTTGGCGCACAATTAGTGAAAGATGAGCCAGCATTGACAAACACAAGTCCAGCGTGAGAATTTCACTCGACAGTATCGGCTCCTCTTGTTGTGATTGGGTATTCGCTGGCGACATGGACAGGGATTCGATATAGAGCAATGTCCTGATCCTCGTTGAGGCTATCTGATGCTGATTCGTAAGTCATCTCATAGTCCTTTGTCCGGACCTCACTGATTTCGTTATGTCTTGAGATTGCTCCCTTTTTTGTCTGCGCTTGCATATTTCATGGTGTGATTCAAGGCCTTGCTGCATCTGCAAGGGCGGTTCTCTGTTAGTTCTGTATCCTGTTGAGATTGGGGTTATGGTTATACCAGAGGAAGTCAATCCTAAGACTAGATGACTATGAAATGCTCAATACTTGGCTGTGAGCCATTGATATCAGTATTGGTAATAGAGTATTCAGACGGAAAGCAGGATCTTGCGAACCCTTCTCCTAGACTAGGGTTTTGATCGTGTCGTTTCGCTTGAATCCATCAGGTTGACGGAAGGGTTGTAACAATGCACGGTAGAATGCCGTAGCAGTAAGGTAAATTAATTTCCCACCATTTGGTCTTTTACCATGGCCTGGATGAAAGATTAAGGTGTGGCGTACTTGAGACTATAAGTAGAGTGACGATTCCTTAATGCTATTACTAGTGCCATCAAGAAGTAAACATGTTTAACAGTACAAAAGATGCGGTACCTATTGTTTGCGTCTGGATCATGGTGGCACCTAGAATGAATGATTGAAGCTCCGTCCAGCTAGTACTTTGAACCAGAACGCCTCTAGTGGACCTCTCTTTCAACAGTTCTGTCTCTAGTAGCAAGAACCAGATATAGACTGGGTAGCTAAGGGTCCAATGCCAATCTGATAAGCTGTTGTCCTTGTCCATTCCTAACGTCTTGCTGTCCTGTGGATTTCCTGGCACTCACTGTAGTCTTATGTTGTCTACTGCTACTATGCCGTTTCGTAAGAATGAGCTAGACCGATACTTGGAGAGGAGGAGAAGTGTGAGATTATGCCCTGCTTACTGGGTTGTTATGTTGGGATTTGCTCTTCATTCCGGGGGAGTAGAAGTGTGTTGGCTGGGGTTTGGCTTATGTCCGTCTGTTCTGTTTGAGCTGTGGCTATACAGTGACTCAGTGATGTGTTTCAGAGAGAAAGGATGAAAGAAGACTTTATTAAAAAAATATGTGCTGTATCTACTCTAACTATATTCGATAGTCGACAAGGTAGTCAAGACACCGGCAATGAAAAGAACTGGAGAATTCGATCATCTTCGAGGAAGCCTTCACGGACAGTCTCTATTGATGCTCTTTGAGGCCCTCGGAAGTCTTGACACCAGCACTGGCCTCCGACTTTTTGAGTATACTCGCCCACTCAAGCGAGGCATTCCCCAGAATGGACAGACAGGCCAAGATCAGTCCAATCTGGAACACCTTCCGCAGTGCTTCGTTATAAGCCATCAATACCGTCCCCTGGAGATTCGAAGGAACCAAGCTCAGTAGCGATGTTGCACCGCCCGACGCAACAATATTGGAGTCGATTCCTGGAATCCCAGATAGCCTCAGCATAAGCTGGTTAGCCAGTACGTTCTCCCCCACCGGGACAAAAACCGCAGCACCGAGCAGCTGGCTGAAGAACATGACCGCAATCCCGACAGGCACATCTTTTCTCGGCAAGACGGTTTGCGCAGCGAGGTTGGGTTGCTGGAAGCACATCCCCATGCCGAAGCCATACAGGATCTGATAGCCTATCCATTTGCCTTGGCCAGTGCTGATTTGCAGCGTCGTGAGGAGCCCAGCACCAATAGCCATAATGCAGGATCCGATAATGGCAAAGGGGGTATAGTATCCGATTTTCGGGGTAGTAATGCCACTGAATATTGATGCGACGACCATTGAGAGCATCAGAGGCAGGAGTCTGAGACCCGAGTCCACGGCCGAGACGCCTTTGATGGATTGGAACCAGATTGGCAGGAAGTATACTAGTCGACGTTAGTCAAGATATACCATAGGGTGTCTTCTTATTCCTACTAATTATGTATTGCGATGCACCTATGCAGAGGGTCGCCCAAGCTCCGGCGAAGATGCTGCGCCGTCTGAAGATGCGCGGAGGAATAGTCGCCGTCCTTGTCAGAAGGATCTGGACAATCACGAAACCAAGCAGCAAGACGCCCATGAGGGCCAGTAAGGCGATTATGCGGGCATTGTTCCACTGTTCTCCGTCAGTACAGAGCTCAATATGACTCTGGACAACTCACAGCATATGTCTGCCCACCCCACTGTAGTGCCAACACCAGACAGACTACGCCAGGGATCAAGCAACAAATTCCAGGGACATCAAGCTGCTTCAGCTTCTCCGTCCATGAAACCTTGGTCGTATTTCTGTCAGGCACCTTGAGGCAAAACGCGATAGCGACCATTGCCAGGCCTCCGAACGGGAGGTTGATATAGAAGCACCATCTCCACGTTACTTTCGAGGTAAAGGCACCGCCAACCAGCGGGCCTACAATTGAGGCCAGACCGAAGACAGCCCCAAAAAGCCCTTGGATCTTGGGGCGCTTTTCGAGAGGAACAGCATAAACAACACATACAACCTAGCTCGTCAGCACTTGCTTTGTGGAAGAACAAGACAACTCACCGATCCAGCAAAGATCCCTGCGGCACCAATCCCTGCGAGAGCTCGTCCAACGATAAAAGCCGTAGAGTTGGGCGCAGCTCCACAAACGACTGAGCCAACTTCGAACAGGAGGATGCTAGCCACGATAACCGCTTTCACCGGGTAGAAAGTGTAGATCTTTCCAAATAGCAATTGAAATGCACAGCACGTTAGCAGATATGCGCTTCCGTACCAGCCAACGTCGGAGAGGGAGTCGAATTCGTCCGTGATTTGAGGGATTGCCTTGCGTTTCCTGTCAGCCTAAATTTTCTTTGATCTCTGTTCAGTGTTTGCTATACCGTTGAGATGATGGTTCGATCTAGAGCAACCAGAAACATGGTCATCATGATCGAGACCAGAAGAAGTATGACCTTGGTGGCCGATTGTTCCTGATACGTGTCGTCCGGGTCGCTCGTGGCGTGGTTGGTTTCCCCATCATCACAGGTCTCATTGCGCTGAGTTGTCTCCATATCTGGTAGATTTTCAGTCGGTTGCTCCTTTTGAGGAGACGTCGAGCATTCGAATTTCGTCATGACCGTGCAAGGTAAGTCTCTGCTCTCAGCCAGCAAGATCTATACTTCGCAGATCCGCGGAGACAATTGAAACAGGTGTCGCATTTGAGACATCCATGATTACAGACAAGACCTTATATTTATATTCGGAAACTTTCCTTGCTCGGGGTCATTTTCGATGACTCTCGTCAGAGAATGGCCTGTCGGACTATAGACGAGCCCGAGACGACCGTACATGATAACTTGTCGGGTTGCAGTAACACCCGAGAAAACCACAATACGGGTGAAGAAGCATGCGACTAGATCAGGAGAATTGGGAAAAGGAGTTGAAATTCGAGAGATAGGCCCGTCCCGGTTTCGAGGCAGAAGCTAACCAGCTAGCCATCCCACCAGTCGAGCCCTACTCGAAGCCTCCAACGCTTACCCCGAAGTCTACCGCTACATTTCACCACAGGGTTCCTCAATAAGATAGTCCATTTTACCACCGCAAGGACGGCCTTTCTCTCGATGACTACACGAAACCCTCCGCAACGAACCCTGAGTGCGCAATCGCAGGAATAGTGTCATACATGGCCGCTTCGACCGAACCTCCGCGCCGAGATCAGGTACATCATCCTGACTCCGTTTCAGCCGACACATGTCACCACCTGTACTATCGGACTACTCCTGCAATATACGCTCAATCCGCTGGACGAGGGCCGACTGGGTCAGCGGCGGGTGATCTGGCAGGCGGACACGGTGAACCCGCGCTCCGTTAGCGAGGCGAAGAGGATGGGATTTACGCAGGAGGGAATCCTGCGTGAATGCAAAGAGGAGAGGAAAGACAGGTAATGGCAAGGGTTGGCTCCGCGTGTGAATGGAAGTGGAACGGATATATACATTGCAACCTACCTTCAACAACCACCATAGTCTAATCAACATGAGTTTGACGGAGGGAGTGGGAAGGCAATTTGCATTTGAACTGAGAACGTAGTACTGATTAGGGCTCTTTCCTGAAAGGTAGGTAGACGTGCCTCACCCAAATTAAGAACAGGAGTGCAGCGACAAGTTGCTATGACCAATTTGCACCCCCATCCTATAATGCTGCCCCGGCTCCATAGTAACGTTAACCTTCAGCCTGTCCTCAAAGATCAGAACAACGTCCGAACCCCCGAATTGAAAATATGCCAGCTCTTCACCTTTATGCAATTTTGCGCCAACTTCAGCAGTAAGGATGACCGATGATACGATGGCCATACCAATAGGTAACACGGCCACCAGACCAGCGCTTGTGTCCAGCACAATCAGTCCTCTAGCTTGGCAAAACTGGTAACCTGTCTCGTTGCAAACACGAAGCACTGCACCTGCTGTCTCGCCGACTATGTTGGTTTTGACGGCTCCATTTGGCCTTGCATCTTGTCCCGGAGGCCAGGTAGCATGGACTTGCATATAGTTTCGACCGACAATCGTCCTGGCATCTAACACTGTTCCGCCGACGGGTGCATGCAGTCGGTGATAATCGTTCACGTCTAGAAAGCCATGTAACCACGTCCCATTTGCGAAACGATCCTTGTATAGCGAGTCATCCAGCAGTTTAGCCCTCCGCCACTTGAGTCCTTTCGTGATCACCGTCGAGTCCGCCGAGACAGGATGAAGCTCTTCAAATAGGAAGTCGGCAGGACTGGTCAAAACTGAGTTGTCACCAATCGCAGCGATAGGGCGCCGACCAGGCTTGAGATTGCGGCAGAAGAATTCGTTAAACGTCCTCCATCCTCCTCGAGGCTCGATGTAGTCTTCAATATTGTACGCGGGGCTTGTCCTGAATGTATCCAGCGACGCTGTAGAAGCAGGTGAATCCATAAACCTCCCAATTTCCTTGCTGAGTCGCACCATCCACCCTGAGAGCCAGGTGAGTTTCTCATGTTGGCCGCTTGTTTCCGACTCGGATGATGGTTGAGTGGGACTCTGATACGCGGCGACAGAGGGCTGGTCAAGAACGAACCACATCTTACATATCCGAAGGAGGATGTCCTTGGCTTGTGCAGCTTCACTTGGTACCCAACGAAGCTGGTCGTTGATGAATCGAAAGTAATCTTCTAGGCATTGAATGTCCTGCATCCCAGCTAAATTGTTTGAACGTGCTGTGACGATTGCCGCTTCAAAGTCATCTCTCCGTTTCGAATCCGACATAATCCATTCCCTCAGATCCCTAACAAGCTGTGAATAGTCATCTTCAATATAAGAACCTGGTTTTAGGCCTAGAAAGGAGGATATAACTATTGCAAATAGCTTGGAAAACATCATTCTCTTCAGAAACGGTAAGTTTCATCGGTTGCCTGAATTGCTATCTTGTGGGATATGTTAGAAGATTTATACATCCTCCACCTTCAAGGTAAGTAGAGAAGGTTCTGAATACTGTGAGCTGATCTATCTGATTCGGCGCTGGTGTAGTCGATGGCTGGCTGAATATATGCCTGCTTCCAGGGACCCGAATGAGCTGAACTGCGAGTCTAGATCATTCTACATCCTGCCAACTCAGAGCGCGCTCGCCAGAGGCGACAATGCTAATAGTTGCAAGGCTTAACTGTTTCACTCCCGGCTCTGAGTAGTCTTCATTTCCCATCTTATTATCCACCTGGCAGTATGCCTGTTAAACCCATATTAACTAGACACACATGAATGACTGCAAAAGACTAACACTGGCCAGAGCTACAACCTGCTCAACATGCTACTCATAAATTCATTCCAAGGCGGGTTTGTCTCCCCAGGGACAAACTTGCCATTGGGAGGTCGCCACATTGGCCAGAATCGCAGAGGTTGCATTTTCTCCTCCATATTCTTCCATTCCATATCCGGTCTTTCAACTTTTGGCTCCACCGTGTGCTTACGGAAGGGAATAAAGCCGTGCCTCATGTAAATCGGAACACCCATAGCTACCACAGATTCAAGCCACGCTTCTATTCCGAGTTCATCTGCCCGGCGACACGCCTCCGCGAGAAACATGTCGGCGATTCCTTGTTGTCGATATTCTGGGAGGATGAAACCAATATATAGATCTTATATTTGTTAACTTCATGCTTTGCAACTTCGATGTCGGTTCCAAACTTACAAACATGTGGCCGCTGCATGAACGTCTCATGCGGGGTCGTAAATATGCGCAGGCACTCATCGATGTACTTCCGTTGGCTACCGGCAGGATACCAGAAGGCAGATTGATGCTCAGCATCATTTAGAGCAAACGGGTTCTTCTCGTCGCCGACGATTTTGTTGTTATTCTGGGTGTCAATGACCTTGGTCCACACTGCGTCTGGATCCTCGCGAGACCACTGGCGTTGCAGCTCGACCAAATTTTCGAAGGCTGTCTGCCTTTCTAGCTCAGATTCATGACCAAAAATAGGGTAGAAAAATCTGAAGATTGACTGTCGGGGATGCTCGAAGCTCGTTACTTCGCAGGCAACTAACTCCTCGAATTCCTTCCCTTCATGATCGACTTCGAGTAATTGGAAGCGCATCTTCTTTGGTGATATTGCGTTATCTTGTCTGCTCTGAGGGTAACAGCTAAAGAATAGACAGGCTTTTATTAAACTGGTGAATTATAATATGCATTTCTCACGCACCACCGCTCCCTCGATAATATAATCGAGAGGGAGCAAACCCTCAACGGACACAAGCCGCGCAGGGAATTCAATTTTATCCGCAAAACACATGGATGGGTTGACTGGGTAGGTCAACAAGAAGTAAAGCAAGTCAGCTAGCCATGCACTCGTGTTCAATAAGTTCCCTTGCTGTAGACGTGTTTCAAGCTCAGCCACAAACAATCCCCGCAGGAAACACAGCAGATCACTGCTAATCCCCCATTTTATCTCTGGTCGCCTACAATATTTATCGGTAAGAACTCATGGAACTCGTTTCCATGTCGAATTCATTTCACTGTCAAGGTGGAAGTCGGAAGACGCTCGGCCAGCCTAATGAAGCGATTAGTGAGTTGTTAAGCCAACCGCCATCAAAAGACTCGAAGTCGGCAAATAAGGAAAGCAAGGGGAGTACTGGAAGAATGCTGTGGTAGCAGAGGAGAATACCCAGGATGGCAAAGTATGAAAGAGAAGAGGGTCAAACAAGAAACTGGAAGCTCAGCATAAGCAGGAATCTAACCAGGAAAAGCATTGGCAGACGTGGATCAATTTAATGAAATATCCATTCCGCATATCTGTGTGAATCTAATAGTTGGTTAGGTCCATCACAAGCATTTATACCTGACATTTGATTGCCTACTACTTACCATTTGAATGGGATAGGGTTAGTAGTAGGAGCCACGCTGTTTACTTCAGCAGTTTGAGACTATCCAGTGAAATCATGCAAGTATAGCATGATATGTGATGATGTCGACGCATTAGAGTGGCAAATCTATATCTTACCAGTAGATACTTCTGGATTTTAGGCATTTCTGAGTATATAATTTGTATTCGTCCAGGTTATATACTTTCTATGCCATAGCTGGTTCATCCTCCTCTTTACCCAACGCCATGTTAGATAATAAGGATATCAGCCTGGGAAACTGCTGTGAAATTAATCATCTGTGATTTGACATGCATATCATTACATAGCACCACAGGAAATGATTAAATCAAAAATTCAACCGCGCTTTGCTAAAGTGGGCTTGAGCTTGCTGCCCATAAGCTTCGTCAGACTGAAATAATAAGTCTGTAGCTCCAAATTCGTTGAAAATTGGTGGACACTTGCACAACTCATCAGCTGATCAGGAGGCACAAAAGAAATATCCAGAAGCGTGTCTCGAAGTTCTGTTCCAAGCTCTTATGGCAGTCCGAAGTTGTGTCACAACCTTTCCAGGTCAGAAACGCTTATGTCTTGGCCCCCTGTTGATCTTGGAGAGCTAGTCCTAGCAGACTGGATGTAAGGAACAGTGAGCCCATATATCACGCTTTTATATTGCGAGAATCTTGTACAGGATCGTCGTGCGATAACCCGCTGGCATCACCAGCTTTTTACATTCTCCCCAGAAGCCCCAGTAGCCACCGTAAGTCCATATATCCGTTGGATAATTACCCCCGGGGTTTACGGATGTAGCGCGGAGTTATGGAGGTATATTTACAACGAGAGCCGGGGAAACAATAAAGGATTCCATAAACTTTTCATTCGTTTTGGAAGTAAACCGAATACTATGTCTCCCAAAATCGTCCTCATCACCGGCGCCAACACCGGGATTGGGTTCCAGGTCATCCGCGCCCTCTGCAACTCCAAGGAAGCCTACAGTATCATCGTCGGCGGACGATCCCCAGCAAAAGTACAGAATGCCATTGAAGCCGTTCAAAGCGAGTTCCCAAAGTCCCAAAGCCAGCTTTCCCCCCTTCAGATCGACCTCGAATCCGACGACTCGATCAAACATGCCTACGAAGACGTCAGCGCCAAGTTCGGAAGACTCGACGCTCTCGTGAACAACGCAGGTACCTCCTTTTGCCCTCCCGTCTCCAGCTCACACATTCTAACATCTCAGGCGCCTGGTTCGACGCGCAAGCCAACACCACAATGACCGAACGCGAAATGTGGAACAAGACCTGGGACGTCAATGTCACGGGCACGCACCTCCTCACCTCAGCCCTCATGCCTCTCCTCCTCAGGAGCTCCGACCCACGGCTCCTCTTTGTGACATCTGGCGCTGCGAGACTCGCAGGCACGGACGACCTTCGTCTCGCGATCAACCGGCCTCCACCGGCCGGCTGGCCCAAGCCCGCTGGGACGACTGCCACCGCGTACCGCAGCGCGAAGACGGGGCTCAACATGGTGCTGCGCGAATGGGGGCGGATACTCAAGAACGACGGGGTAAAGGTTTGGGGGATCGCGCCGGGCCACCTGGCGACTGGGTTGGGGGGTGGCACGCCAGAGGAGATGAAGAAGAACGGGGCGGAAGATGCCGATGTGGTCGGGCCGTTTATTCGGTCTGTCCTGGAGGGAGATTGGGATGCCGAGGTGGGGAGGGTGATTAGGAGGGAGGGGGTGCAGGAGTGGTAGTTGACATGTATTTCCATCTGATATTGGTTCACTCTCGTAGTTTGATCGCACATGGTGTACATCTTGCCCCGGTGCAGCCTGCAATAGATACTGTGACGGAAGCGTCAGCACATGGCATTTGAACGCAAGTATGCTTTATCTAGTGGGACTCTGTCAGTACAGAATGCTAGTATGCTGAACCCGTTTACTCTACCTCCGTAAAAGTGTATTCATTGCATACTTTGGCCAGCAGGACAATTAAAGCTCCCCAACCACCAATCAATTCTGTAGTCTTCAACAGCCATGACGAGTTGCTTCGAGTATTATGAAGTGAATTAATAATATATTAATCGGAACGAAAAGAAAGATCGAATTCAAGGCGTGCCGCTTCTAGTACACCATGAGGAATAGCTCGGCGCTTTACCGGAAGATGTACAATGACCGGTCAAAGTCGCATAAGTTGTCAACCAGCGGGGCAATGACACATTCAAACACTTTGTCCTGCATACTTTCGTCTTCCGAGGTCGTATCTACGGTATCTGAGCCAAAGAGACACCGTTCTACCACTTGACCGTACTTCAACCCACTCTCCATTTCCACAACTGGAAGATATCGAGCAGCAGTCTTGAGATTTGCCACTGCCTCCAGAGGATCGGCGTCTTCCTGTGTACGCAATGATTCAAGGCTCCGACACACCGAAAGTTCGACGAGAATCAGTCCTAGGGGAAAGAGAAGTTCGCTCCGTATGAGCGCTGACGATTACTGATTCTTGTCCATACGCGGCTCGCCTGCAATGTCACACACGACATAGGGGTGTTTGGATGGGTCAAAATGCTCTTTCATGAACATGATGTCACGAGCTCTCCAATATTTGCGCAGCCAGTTACCATGGAACTGCAGGACACTGCACGCAAGGTTCACGGCGAGAATGAGTCGATCACGGCGGCTGAACATGTATCTGCCTTGTACCGGAGGTCGTGGAAATGTTGTCGAAGTCGCTATGAGTTCCTCAAGGGATTGTGATTGTGGTTGTAGGGCATCAGTGAAGCTCCGGACATGGTACATATGGTGCCGGTATCTTTCGTCCGCGATGCAGCCAAGGAGTCCTCGTTGTTTGTCATCAAAGTTGACGGCGAATATCGTGGAGCAAAGGTCTGGTATAGAGGATACTGGGGCCTTGCCTTTATTACCTAACAGGTCTCGAGCCTCAGACTCCGAACGGTTCAGTTTAGAGCTTGGTTTCGTGTTCTCTTCACATTTGTCATTCCGATTCAACTGCGATCCGTTGGAACAGGGATAGGTATCACATGCTGAGATAGGACCTGAGATCTCCATTGACTCGGCCTCAATCTCGTGACAGTAGTCACTGGCATCAGATGAAGAAATACATCTCTTCGACGTGAATGTCATTCGAAATGTATGATTTAAAACCTTGTGCCGCGTTCCGAGCAAGTCTAATATTGAAAAATCGAGGACGAAATGAACAGAATGCGGTCTTTGCATGGGCAATTCCAGCAGTCTCTATTCATAACTGCGCTATATAGACTCAGGGCTGATTTTCGCTTCCTTGTGTGTACCGATAGTGGCTGTCGCAACCTCCATTTGGCGTAGTCCTCCGAGCGGTGGTGAAAAGACTGGTCTACCAATGTTTTCAGGATGGTTTTTGCGGTGTGAATGCGGCTGAGGAGATTGGCATATATACTTTTTGAGAGTATGTCGCGGAACTTTTTGACCTCTCTCTTGATGAAGGATTTGGGCTGAGAGTTCAACTAGAACAGGCGTGGGTCAGTAAAAAAGGTTGGCGCACTTAAGCAAGGACAACCAACCGACAATGTACTTCCATCTATCAAGCCCAACTTGTTGGATAAGTCCTCCAATAAATTGCACAATTCCTGAGTTGTTCTCATAAAAGGCTCAAAGCTTGTCTGAAGCCTTGATTGAAGTCCCTCATGGATATCCCGTCCCACCGAAGTGGCTCCCTTGGGATTCCTGATCCACGAATTGATAGCTTCCTCATCTACCGGACTGTCCTTTAACGCGAGACCCAGCGTGTTCAAGAAAATAGCCTGTTGTGCTCTTAAATCGGTGAGATAACTCTCTAGCTCTCCCAGGTATCTCTTTGCTCTGAAGCTCTTGAGTGTCTGCAAACCTTGCACATAGTTATTAAGTTGGTTGACGAGTAAGGGCAGGATAGCTAGCACGAGGCCAGTAGCCTCGATTCCAGTCGGCATTTTGCCATGTGGGATCGAAATTGACAGTGAGTTAATCTTTTGAGAAAGGGGTGGTGAGGTTGAAGCTGTCGAGCATTGTTTATCTGCAACTACCCCAGGTGAATACTGAGAAGCGATCATGTGACATCACCATTACTTCTATATTCTACTCAGTACTAGTAGTTCCTTCCTGTATCCCAGTCTCTTGCAGGTCGAATCCATCAGCTCCATCACATTTCTCCTATCTTTCATCGAAATCCATTCAGCAACCATCCTAAGTACCTTCCTTGATCGACCTGTACGATTTTCAACCGACCTGAGCGACGAGGGAGCATAAAGCTATAAAATGTCTCATTCAACATCATCGCTGTTTGAGACATGTTTCCAGCGGTTGAGTCAGCTAATATCATCCGGGCGATTAACAGCATATGAAAATGAGGTACCGGTAGTTCTCTGGCAAGATGAGCTCGGCCGACTCCGGATCTGGGCAAAGGAGACGCAGTTATCGTCTCTGGATGTCCGACTGAGTGATGCGTTCCATACTCAAGAGGATCTCTTCATCATCTTCCGTCAACTACAACGGGCTCTTGCCGATATGCGGGATGTCTTAGATGGTACTACAGCTGACGAGGCCATGTCTGATGAGGACACCGATGACGATGATGTTGACGGGACCGAAATGTAAATGATTTATCATTCTCTACGTCACGCAATCAACTGCTTGTTCATGATGATGAGGGTCATTCTTTGGCCTGCACATCACCCATTGGTGTCGGGCAAGGTAGTGGGACTTTCAAGATATGCTTCATCTGCGGAGACTCGCTCCACAACACGGACGATGGTTGAAAATGAGGCCGCTACCGCCATGGGATTCAAACCTATTTTACCGGAGGAAGAAGCCATCTGGCGCGATCCTCGTATTCATGCCATGGGTATTCACGACTCGTACGTTGGTGCGCAGGAGGATCCTGATACAGTCTTCCTCTTTCATGGTGGCATTACGCACCAGCTGCATTCTAGACATCAAGCAGTTGAGGCAACATGCGATGGAAATAACACAAGCCGCCAGCCCAGATCGCATCAAGCTCTTCTACAATGGCCAGGTGTTGGAAGACGACTCGCTTCCTTGCCGAGACGAAGGGCTCAAATCAAAGTCAACAATCCACTGTGAGGTTCTCGATTCAGACAAGACCGATAATCAAGGCATTTCCCAAGCCACACGCAGAGAGTATGAGGAGATGCTTCAATTCAGCAAAAGCAAGACGCAGACTGGCCCCTTGGACAAAGGCAAAAACAAAGACAGAATGGGAAATGCTAGCCTTGACCAGTTCGCATTATCTCCCCCCTGCCAGTCATCCTCTCCACCGCAGGCTCCCGATCTCAGCACGTTCAAAACTGCCGCTGAGCAACTGTTGGCCTTAGAATCACACTTGCGGGAGGTGCTGGCACCACTGTGTGACTCCTTCATTACAGATCCTCCCACTGATAAGGAAGTGCGCAACTCAGAGCATAAGAAACTTGAAGAAACAATCCTAGCACAGGTGATTCTCAAGGCACAGAACATTGAGATCTCTGGTTATGGTTGGTCGTGGATTCCCAGCCGTATCAGGAGGCTGTTACTTATCAGGAGAGCTCAAAAAATGCTCCGCAAACTTGACCAGGCAGCTAAATTGGGATCTGGTCAGTGGTTCTAGAAGGAGCATACCTTAGTGAAGATGATGGTGTTTGTGAAGGAAAGATAAAAAGAGCAAAGTCTAGAGACTCTAGCCAAGCCCAGAAGGTGTGTATTTTGTGTATCGCTAGTCTTGCTATAGACACTTAATTGATCTTGCTATGAACGCTTAATTAAATGTCAACACTATACAGTACCTTAGTAAAAGTGCATATATTAGACAGGTCAAGCGCCCAATGGGCGCCCAAGCCGGTTCCGGCTGGGTAAGCGGAACCGGCACACTATTCAGGGAATATAAAAGATGTTTTGATATGTCGATAGGCCAAAGTACCAGATACATCACATATACACCCGGGACCTTTCAGTATGCCTGCGGTAATTCATGATATGAATGAAAGCGATTCGGCTGCTGAAGAACATGCAACTGGCAGCGTTGAACCAGATGGAGGTCAGCACATGAAACTGGAAGACGAAATCACCACAATTACCGAAGTTGGTGATAGACGACAAGAAGAGAGAGAAGCGAAGGAGAATCCATGTCCTCAACCGGAGACAATCGAAATGACCGGGGTACATGCTTCTGCGCCTGCTGCAACAGACACTACTACAATAGCAGGGCCGCCGTACTGCATACTGCCAGAAGGCGAGAAGATCTTCATTATGCTCTTGGTCTCATTCGCGGCCATTATCTCTCCGATCTCCAGTAGCATCTACTTTCCGTCTCTGAACGACCTTGCAAAAGAGTTGAATGTCTCCATCTCGCTCATCAACATAACCATCACAACATATCTGGTAGGCCCTCCGCCTCACCTGGGAGAGAGCAGTTAACAAGAGTTGTACTAAACCCTTGTAGATCTTCCAAGGAATTGCTCCCTCATTCATAGCAAACTTTTCAGATATCCACGGGCGACGACCCGCCTATCTGATCTGCTTCACCATCTATCTCGCCGCCAACATAGGCCTCGCTCTCCAGGATAGCTACGCGTCATTGTTGGTCCTCCGTTGCCTGCAAAGCTCAGGCAGCAGTGGGACAATTGCGCTGGGGAGCGCAGTTGTTGCTGATTTATCGACCAGAGCAGAGCGAGGCAAGTATATAGGATACGCTACTATGGGCGTAACCCTGGGACCTGCCTTGGGGCCTATCATTGGGGGTTTACTGGATCATTACCTGGGGTGGCGAGCTGTCTTTTGGTTCCTGGTCATTTTCAGCGGTGTTTTCGGGACCATCGTTGCTATCGTCTTGCCTGAAACCTGCCGCGCGGTTGTGGGCAATGGCTCTGTCCCTGCCGCCAGGTGGAATCAGTCCGGATGGCAGGTCCTGGGGCAGAAATGGGGATCCAGAAAGCAAAAGCCAGAGCCGGATTATCAAACCATCCAGAAGGGCCGTCGACGCCCCAATCCGTTCGCGTCTGCCCTGATCGCGACCGAAAAGGAAACGCTCATTATTTTGGTTTATGGCTCACTATTGTATTCCGGATACATGGCGGTCTTGAGCACATTAACCTCTCAGCTCCAGAGCAGATTCCACTTCAATTCAATCCAAGTCGGGCTGTGCTATCTCCCATTGGGGATGGGCAGTCTGACCTCCCGCTGGACGGTCGGACGTATTCTGGACTGGAACTTTCGACGAGAAGCTCGACGTCAGGGACTACCGATCGAGAAGAACCGACAGCAAGATATCCAGCATTTCAACATCGAGCTCGCCCGTTTGGCCGTGACTATTCCCCTGGTCTATTGCGCCTGTCTGTGTATCATCGCCTATGGCTGGGTCATGGAGTATAAAACCGCTCTTGCCGGCCCGGTGGTCATGCTATTCTTCACGGGACACCTGACCTCCGGTGCCGTCAGCTCGCTGGGTACATTGATTGTGGACATCCATCGCCAGAGTCCTGCAACCGCAGTAGCCGCAAACAACCTGTTCCGGTGTCTGCTGGGTGCGGGAGCCGTTGCGGTTGCAGATCCATTGATTCAGCGCATAGGGATCGGTTGGACGGCCACTCTTATTGCGTTTCTGTGGGTTGCTTTTAGCCCGTGTGTGTGGGCTGTATTCATATGGGGTCATCAGTGGAGAGAGGAACTGCGAATGAGCAATGAAAAAAAGGTGGGCAGCCTACCAGAAGCGACATCTAAAGGTATGGGGGAAGATCCAACGGCCAAGAAGGGCGTTTGAAGAAAGTCGATTCTCTCTCTGGAGTTAGGGAAGAAGTAAATAGTGACCATATTATCATATATATGGAGTTAGACTAGAATTGTTTGATTTTAGCAGGCATACCTGTCGTAGCCATAATAGCATGGACGTCCGGACGATGTACTCGTCAGTCTAGGGTTTCATATCCATAATCATAGTGGTATCTTATTCCAAAACTAGATATGCTCTGAGTCTCTGTGTTTCTCTCCTATCCAAACCCGTGCCAAGACCCACTTAACTGTACTAGGAAAAGCCTTGGGATCATTAGTATCTTCCTGGAGTTTTTAAGGGAGCTTACTCTGTAGACTGTTAGACACCCCGCGTTAGTACAACTTCCCCTCTCCTTGACTACTAGCAACAGAACTTTAACACCTCAAACATTGCCCAACCTCACCAGTAGCTCGGTGTTCAAAATAGCTAGAAGTCAAAATGCACATGCCAATGGAGATATATGATTATGTAAGACTTTGTATTTCAGTTTTCTTGTGCTCAGCATTAAATTTTCCTCACAGATTGTATATCATGTTTGGAACGTGTACAATGACTTTTTGTATTGGCAAGATGATGCTAGGCATTACTCCATCTCTAGGAGCCAGAGTCGACAAGACTTAGCTGCTCTGCGCCTAGTCAACAAGTCCTTCTGCTGCAGCGCCTCATCCTGGCTGTTCCGGCATATCGATGCGAGATCCAGCGACTCTCCAAAGATTCCACCTTTGGAGCGGCTCATGAAACTATCAAAGAGTTCATATGCTGCACATGTGTGTCAAATTGATTTGGGATTCGATAACCGCGGGAGGTCTCTCGCCGATACTACAACTACATTGTATATAGAAGACCTTGCAGGGAGCCTAGGGTCTTATCTGGTCAGATTTTCCAACCTCAGGGCCCTCGGGTTTCATGAACCGCCCTCATGGCTATCACAAGACCAGAGGAACGTCTATTTGCATACAGTTGTTTCGACATTACGTTACGTGCCACTTTCAAACTTGACAGAACTTGAGATTAGATTCCCGATAACCCATGATTTCGGACGTTTCTTCCCGAACCAGACCAGTTCTCTGCAGATCCCTGTCGGAGATATCATGAGACGTCTTCGACATCTCGGGTGATACGTTTGTGCATATACAGATCAGCTGGACCAGAGATACCCCCGGGAGCCAGTTTTGCCGGAGTATGCTGCTCTTCCAAACAGCGCCCATGCGACGCAACTGTTTAGAATGGTTGAAATTGCGCCAAATCTCAAATCACTCGCGTTACAAAGTGTCAACATCCTCGATATTGACTTCCTCGCCTTTCCATGTTCCCTCTGTCTGCGGTCCCTCTATCTAGCGGGAGTTTCCATCTCATCCCACGTTCTTCTTTCACTTGTCAACCAATCCTCGGAGAAGCTTAGGTATATCGATTTTTCGCGGGTCAAATTGAAGTCTGGGACATGGCAACAGGTGCTACTGCAATTGTGCAAGCTGCCACACCTTCTCGATGTCAATATCGATTACAGCGGGTACTCGTTGACCGGATCGAGCTCTGATCTGGCTCCCAGGCTACTTCCAGACCCAGAGTGGCCTGAAAATATAGAGACTCTGGATATTTTGGATGTGTTTGCTCTGGGCAATTTACAACGGCAAGTTAATGCCAACAGAATTGCTGTTGGGTTTCGGCCGTTCCCAGAAACAGATTATCGATATATCAATCGGCCATCTCTGGAGTCTATAACGCGATCATCCCCGCAGCTACTGAATCCATCTGACTAGATTAGTATTTCATACACCATTTGCTAGGCCGGCGTGGTTACCTTCAAGGCGCTCTTCTTGTGTTAGCGAAGTGATATTTATGAAGATCTTCCATCTTGTCAAGGAACTCTTTAATGGAGCTTGCGTCCGTGGTGTTAGGCGACAGATTGAATCCACACAGGTACCTAAATAAATCTGTTTGATTCACTGCTTTATCATGAGTAGAATATATTACAGTAAATACATCCCACAAACAGGTAGCCAAATCTTCAACCTAGAGGCGGGGGGCTTTTCAACTAGGCGTCCAGCATCAGAGGTGTGATACTGGATGGCCAGCTAGCAAGGATAGGGGAGATCTAGTGATGCTGAATAACTGCATGTTCTTACATAAATGAGTGATAGAACACTCACCCATTTCGCCATCTTAGTAATTTATGATGTAGTGAGTCTGCCTGCTGCTTGTCATGTAGATAATTATTTAATAGGAAGATAGATAATAGGGTTAGAAATACTCCTTTGTTAGAGTGTCTTAACAATCTACCTAGCTGGTGTTAGGGTGCAGTGAAATATTTATGTATGTATGTGAAATTTTCAACAATCCAAGGTTTATCTCAAGAGTTACAAGCTCAACTGAGTCATAATATTAAACCCCAATGGTAGCCGGTACCTCCCGGGCCTGCTGTTTATTGCTAGGTACCCTGGAGAAACTGGGTGGCGTTCAGCAAAATTTTTGCAAACTTAGAGAGGGATTTCTGGTTTTGTTGGACTTTTTCAAGTGGCGAATCCGATCTCGGCGAGAAGAGATTCCCGGGATAAAAAGCTTGATGGAGTTAAGAGGCTGCTGAAGATTCTGCAGGATGTATCTACAGTCTCGAGAGCAATCCCAGCATATTAGCAGCTCATATAGGGATGAACGTATGCTTATAGCTAGCCGTATAGCTTTACAACTCCCTGCAGTCTAGCCTCGTGGCTAGCATGGCAGCCATGCAACATCGCCGCTTGCCATATGTTATGTTAGTAAACGTCTAGACAAATCAACCAGCGGAAAGCAGTGGAGAACCCGCAAAAAGGCCGAATATAGGACTGTGGAGAAGACTACCACCAATGGCGCGACGGCATTCACCGATGTCGTGATTGCCAGCTCCAGACCAGAATAAAAGAAAGGATTTTCTCCGCTGCTTCTTCCCCATGGCGATCCCTCTTCCTGAATTCTGACCTCTTCTCGAACAATTGAACTAACTGGTTGTGCATGTGGGAGACACCCCAAACTGACCCGAGATGATCTCCCACACCGGCCACACCATGGAGAAATCCGACTCCAAGATTGAGCCGGATCATTCCCAGCCATACGAGGAGGAGGTTGGTCCCTACCCAGAGAAGGATGCGCTGCAGCTCAATGTTGGTGGCCGGGGTGCCACCCAGCGCCGCCTGAAGAACTACCAGGTGACGATGATCGGGTTCTGCGGCGGTATTGGTACTGGTCTGTTCGTGGGAACGGGTGCGGCGTATGCCAAAGCTGGTCCTGCTGGTTTGCTGCTGGCCTATGCGGTCGTTGGTCTGGTGCTGTGGTGTGTGATGCAGAGTATCGCCGAGTTGGCGACGCTGCTGCCCACCGCCGGATCCTTTCCGCACTGGGCGACACGGTTCATTGATCCCTCGGTTGGTTTCTCGTTGGCCATCTCGTACGGTTACTGCTACACCATTGCCATCGCGTCCGAAGTGTCTGCGGCTGCGGTGATTGTCTCCTACTGGACGGACCTGACGCCGGCGGTGGTCATCACCGTGGGCTTGGTGCTGATCCTGGCTATCAATCTCATGAGTGTGCGATTCTATGGTGAGACAGAAGTCATCGCGGGTACCATCAAGGTTCTCTGCTTCGTTGGCTTGGTAATTGTCTCCATCGTCATCACCTCTGGCGGGGGACCGAACCACGAGGCCATCGGCTTCCGCTACTGGCACAATCCCGGCCCCTGGACCAACTACAACGGCATCACCGGACCCACCGGTCACTTCCTGGGCTTCCTGTCTGCCTTTGTCAACGCCTCCTTCAGCTTTATCGGCGTCGAGACCGTCGTCATCACCGCGGCCGAGTCGGTCGACCCGCACCGGGCGATTCCCAAGGCCGCTCGACGTGTCACCTACCGTATCGCCTTCTTCTACGTTCTCGGCGCCTTCCTCATCGGCATGATAGTCGACCCCAGAAACGCCGACCTTGTCTCCGGATCGGGAAATGCCAACAGCTCTCCCTGGGTGATTGCCATTCGCCAGGCCGGCATCAACGCTCTGCCTTCCATTGTCAACGCCTGTATCCTGATCTCTGCCTGGTCTGCTGGCAACTCGTACTGCTGGGTGGGCTCGCGGATGATCGTGGCCATGACGACCGACCACCAGCTGCCCCAGGTATTCGGCAAGGTGACCAAGAAGGGTGTCCCGTATGTGGCTGTTGTCGCCGCTTGGCTGTTTGGACCTTTGGCCTATCTCAGTATGTATCTTCAACTCAGCCGATGATGCAATAACTAACATGTCAGGTCTTGGATCGGGCGGCGCCGCACAAGCCTTCACCTGGCTTCTGAATCTCAGTACCGTTGCGGGTCTGATCGCTTGGGCCACGCTCTCCTTCTGCTACATTCGCTTCTATGCCGCGCTCAAAGCACAGGGAGTCCACCGCGACACGCTACCCTGGAAAGGCCCTCTACAGCCGTATGCGGCGTGGGTGGGATTCATCGGGTCCACCATCATCACCCTCGTGGCCGGATTCCCCGTCTTCCTCAAGGGTAACTGGAATACCTCCGACTTTGTCGCCTCATATATCGGCATTCCTATCTTCATTATCCCCATCATCGGATGGAAGCTGTGGTACCGCACCAAGGTTCGTCCCAGGTTCCCTGCATTTCGAAAATGTAACTAACAGTTGTAGTTTGTTCGCGCGGCCAATATTGACCTGTGGTCTGGCCGTCTCCAGGAGGGAGAGATCATCGAGAAACACAGGCCGATGACATGGTGGCGTCGCATCCTCGATTGGCTTTTCTGAAGTGCTTGTCTTTTGTATATACTATATAGATCATAGAGGTGATACCCAATAATGTAAAGAACATTTTGCTTGTTGAATCGACTACTCGGTTTTGAGCTGCTCGGCCAGCTTTCGAATATCGGTATGAGAGGCTTTGCAGCAGCCTCCGACCAGGAACGAAGTGAAGGGACCCTGTGCGCGAGCATCGGTGACAATCTGCGCCAGTTGAGACTCCCACGGAGCCTACTCCTGTCAGAACTGCAGTATTTGGAGGGCGGGTAACAACAAACACTTTCGCAACTTGTAAATCCTTCCGGCTTCTCCCACGTCTGCGTAGTCGTGTTGTAAACCTCTCCATTGGTGCCATCCGGATACAGCACCAGACTCGGAACACCCCCTACCCGACTCTTGCCAACAGCACCGGCTACCTCCTCGCCAAACTCACGTACCAACCCGGCCAGCTTATAGATCTTGGTACAATTGACGCCCAATCCCCACGGCACCGCCGCACCGTCCATCTCCGCGACCGCAGCCCGCACAACCTGCTCGATAGAACTCCCATCCGGCAACGTAGCCTCCTCCCCGGGAAAAACACACGCCACCCAGAACGGAACATCCATGCCCGCCGCGCGGATCGCCCTCCTCACCGCACGAATCTCGTCCAGCCGCGGCAGCGTCTCGAACGCCACATACTGCACTCTCTCGGGCAGTCTCTCATCCGCCTCAAGAAACAGCCGTAGGCGCTCCAGATGCCATTGGAATAGGGTCTCTTCGCTATCGTGCTCCGCATCGTAGCGCCCGCTGTATTCCTGTCCCGGGATCATGCATGCGCCGTACGGGCCCAGGCTCAGTGCGATTTTGGCGGCGGATGCGCCCCGCGCTTGCTCGGCGACGTCCAGTGCGGTTCGTAGGTATTGTCCTATAGCGTTGCGGGGGATGCCGGTGGGAAACTCGGTGGTCTTGGTGCGTGCGAAGCCTTCGATGGACACTTGGTATGTGGCTGTCAGGAGGACGTCGCTGCCCGCTGTTACGAAGTTGCGCTGGCAGGCGAGGAGAGTGGTGGGGTCGGAGACGAGGAGGTGAGAGGCCCAGAGAGGGGTGGAGGAGTCGAAGGTGACGCCGTGTTGGTCCTGGAGGGAGGTCCCCAGGCCGCCGTCGAGAATTTGAATTGAGGTCATGTCGCTGGTACTATTGTGGGGGATTCGCGATGAATGATGAAGATGACCAAGTTGAGGATGGAATGTGGAGGGGAATTTGTGGGATGTTTGGGGGCTTATCGCACGTGGAGATAATCTTATCTTGTCTTATCTGCATCTTTATCTAAGTGATGCCTTGCTTCTGCCTGGCACTGCCTTAATGCCTAAAGTATAGGACTTGGTAGGATTGTCCCCTGTGTTGTCTGTACATTCTGTACTATACTGTCCAAATGGGCAATATACACAAGCACTCAACAGGAAGGGTCGATGAAGATCCGTCAGCATCTATGCAAGGAGTGAGACACTGGCAGCTCTTATGGTCCATCAATGTAACCCCAAGTTTTCAAATGAGCCAGTAATCTTTGGCAAATTCTCCAAAAGAGCTGATCCATGGTGGTGAGCACCTCAGTGTCATGCCATATCACTTTCCATATTCAGGGCTTACGGTTACACAGACTTCGTCCTTGACATATAAATACACGTCGAACTCCGCACAAGAATGATTGTCTCTCAAGCATCGCTACAAAGTTCTAAAATCCCTGGAATCCGATAACCATACTCAACATGAAGCTCTTTGCTACTCTTCTCCTCCTAGCCACCACTGCCACTGCGGCGGCTCTTGCTGCTGTCGATGCTCCCAATGCTGGCTGCTCTCAACCCGGTCAATACTGCAACGGCGGGACCTTTCTCTGCTGCAACAACCGCAGATGCAGCAACAATGTGGTTAGTATCATCTTCTCCTGGTCACAAGGAGTTTCCCAATGTTTCAAAATGCTGACAATGTCCCTATTAGTGCCAATAATCTCGTGAGCTGTGAAGGGTTGGATGCTATTTCTGTCTGGGGCCGTTGTCTGCCTGGCTTGGGATTAAATTTCAAAAGTCCTCTCTGTTATCGGTCTTAAGGCAATGGTAGTTTACTGGCATTGATCCGCCATTAGTCCCTGTAGATCTGTGTTCGATGAACAGGAATAGTCACTCCAGGCGACCCCCAAAAGAACGATGTCCTCCGTTTCCCTCCCTTAAGCTCTTGCCTTTGATTTGCTCGACGTAATTCTCTTTCCCGGGCTCGTACCCTCTTACTCCGGGCCCAGTCCCTTCGCTTCTTGGCCCTCTTGTGCCTGCTCTCCTCATGACCGAAAAGGCTTTTGAGCCAGCTCAGCATGGCGATCCTGGATATGGTAGAAGAGCGGTTCGGTCTCGGCGTATTGTTTGGTTTCCTTGTGGAAAATCGGGCAAAAGCCTTGGGTAACCTTTCTGTATACAAAATACACCAAACTTAGAACCAGTCGAACATACTCTCTGGTCGAATCGCCTCGACTTACTGTCTGCACATGGACGTAGATGGAGTGGGCATGAGAAGTCTGTCCTCGATCCCTCGGCGGCCAGACTGATGCCTGCGGCATAGGTGACTATTACAGAGATAAAAGTAGCAGCTCCGCGAGCAATTTATCCCTCCTGGCCCTTAGCAGGTGAGCTACCAATCAATTACATAAAACGGTGGCTGACGGGGGCCGAAAGGTGGCCCGCATAGGCGCCAAGCCTAGGAGCCACATCCAGATACCCCTCAGTAGCCCTATCTTTTCCGTTATTTAGCGTCTCTGGGGAGAGGTTGGCGATCCAGACAGTAATGTCAACTGACTCCGCGTCGAAGAGGTTCAGACATCGGAACGGGCTGACACAGATTCGATGGCGAAAATGGATGGGGACGATTAGCATCTCCATCGGAGTGTGGACGTCAATAGAGTCGTCCACTGCGGCCTCCACTTCCATCCATTGGTATGATCGGCCTTGATGGTAATGTTCCCCGGCCAGCAGGTACGGGGCGCGCTCTCCTTCTCCCAAACCGGCCTGCCTAGTTCCCCGGTCAGGTTCGGCTCCGGTACATGCTGTTCAGCTCGGGAAAGAGAAAGAACTGGCCATCGACAAGATCCTGCGCTACCTCGCCTGTCTTGTGGCCCAGTCTTTGCCAGATTAATCCGGTATACCTTCCCATAACTCCAATGCCCATTCAAGGAGCGCTCCGGACTCGAAAGTATCATGCCCGGCATGGCTCCGTGGTATGATTTCCGCGCAGGGGACGTGGCCCGCGCCGGGCCTTCATGGAAATGTCGGGGAAGATGGGAAGGAAGAGCACGAGAGGGGGTCAAGGAGCACGACTGAAGATGCTACAGCAAACGAGATCAGGGACCGGCAGAGGGAGCTTGATATGGAAGATGATGATGAAATGCAGAACCTCAGCGGGCTTGGCTGTACTCCTCTCGTCATTCAAAGGAGTACATATCTGTCTGGTCAATATTTCGTCCAGGCCGTCAGACTCATTCTATCCCTCGTTCTTTCATTACTCTTGTTGTTGTTGAGTGATCTCAATCCTGGGAGCAGTTGTGGATTCAAAATGCCACTGGCAGCTTTATGTCCAGAGGAATGTAGAGGATGGTGCGGGATGGATGCTCATTCTACACTTCCAGTCCAGCTTATCCATTCGTTTTTTTCTGCCATGAGCGACGTGGTCCAGGTATTCTGACATGTTTAGTATGTAGAACGACGTGTGTTAATTTGGTAAATGAGGAATACATAATATACCACAAATGTCAATGAGAGTAGCTAATGTCCATCTGGCAAGAATTGAGAAATGAATAAGACAAATGAAGAACATAAGAAGCACCGCTTAGAGTCCGCTTTCCTGCATCTGACATGTCGTTCAACGTTCTGAATATCCATCTGCTATCCCTACAAGAAGCCTGGCGTGTACAGGGCCACTCATTGGCAGGTGGCAAAGGCGAGTGGCTACAGCGTTCGAAGATCAGCACAGAGCAGTTCAAACCATATAGATCCACGTACCTCATTCTTCATGAATCTGCAGCGAAATAGCGCTGGACTGATGAGTCGAGACTTGAAGAGAATCCCACTGGGCGGGTCGATAAAGATACTGCTGCGTGCCCTTGTAGATAACCCAAAAGAGATACCCTGACCCCTCGCTCTGGAACTTGAACCGTTCCCAGGAATCCAGCTTATCCGCGTCAACGGCGATATCCCCGTTCTTGTTCACCCCCAGCAACTTTCCCGAACTTGCGTTGCGGAATCCAAAGCCGCCGTCGTTGGCTTCCGCCACCCACAGCTGGTTTTTGGCATGTTCCCAGGATCGGATGTGGACTTCTTCGTCCTTGTATTTTCCTGGAACAACGCTTAGAGCTCCGCCTCCAGGGACTTTAAGCGAGTACGTCTTTCTGTCCTGGACCGGGGCAGAGGATATAGAAACTTCGGCGTCGGACATGGTGAGACGACACGTGAGAAGTGAATGAATGATTGCTGAGCTGGGAGAATGATTATGATGGAATAACCTGCTTTAAAAGACAACTGAGCAGAACCGAACATTTATATCTGGAGATTGTGTCTACTATCCATCTCAAAGCATGTCCAGATCATGAGACAGCAAGGATAGATGGCTGGGTTCTAGCCAGTTCATTCATATCAGCCCCCTAACGCTGTCAGCAACGACAGCTGAGAGGTGCCAGGCGTTCACAAGCACACCATTTTGGTTCTGTTCTTGCTGTGCGTACGATAGCTGAAACTGAGGCTGAAGCTCCTGAACCGGCATCTCGAAGCGATTCGCATTATGAGGCATTAGCTGGCGATGAGCGCCTGATACCAAGCACCAGCCGCCAGAGTGCTTTCTTGCTTTAGCAAATTTCCTGCATTCCCCTATCCAGACTTCTTTGTCCATGGAAGGTTGGTTGATACTGACTAGAATCTGTCTCACCTGCCAGGGCTGACCTCGAGCTGAACGGCCAACATACTGAGCCAAGCAATCATACCATAGGACCATCGGGGTAGAGACTCTACATGTTCTAGACCTCGAAGACGGCCCACTCATGCATGCTGAAGCATGATCCCTGCCCTGACAGCATATAGGTCATAATAGCTAGCGGACTAGTCTACCCAAGGATGGACGGTGTATAACGGCCAACCTTCTTCCAGCGTCGACAGATTACACATCGGACTTGACCGAGAACAGCAACTCCACGGTGCAGTTCTCAGTATCTGCCAGTGTACCAAGGTGGACGGATCAGCTCTGATCACACAGCCCAGTTTACAACATCGTCTAGCCTCCATGATGCGGCTGACGTTCGACCATGGTGTGTTGGCAATGTTCCGGAGAACTGTCTGGTCACAACGTGTTCCGTAGCAACGGATGCAGCGTTAATCTATTAGGGTTTAGAATATCTTCACAATATTTGCCTTGGCCATGAGCATCCACAAGAACTTAAACCCGTAGAAACAAAGCTGATGCCTTGAGAGCAAGTATGAGTCGTACACCAGGTGATGTCAGAAGAGTAGCAATTTCAAAGCTGAACAAGTAGTATCACCTCTGTGTCAAATGAGATCGTGGATTTGCATGTGGGATTGACAAAGACAATCGAATGGAAATGAGAGAAACAAGAGATAGATAATGACAGGATATCGCGATACCTCATTTCTCTACACTGCATACCTTCTGCCCTCCGAACCAAGTCTCGCACATCTTGCCCTCCAACAGCTCTTCCGCTTCCCACCGCATATCCAAGACCACAAAATCCGCTCTACATCCTTCCCTCAAGCACCCCGTCCATCCCTCTGCGAATCGGGCATATGCCGCTCCCTCCGTCGCAGCGGTCACAGCCTGCGCCAGCCCTAATCCAAAATGCCCATTCGTAGCCCGTGGCTCTCCCGGTTCCAGCGCCGAACGCCGCGTAGTGGCATTATACAGATTCGGCAACGGCAAATGAGCCGCAGTAGGCGCATCCGTCCCAATCGCAAGCCTCGCCCCTCCATCCACAAACTCCCTGTACGCAAAAGCCCTCTGGCACCGGTCGCCGATCAACTCCGGCCACGCGCGGAACAGGACCGGATCCGAGTGAACCGGCTGCACCGAAGCCGTGATTCCCAAGTCTCCCAACCGCTTTGCGTCCTCGGGGGCAGTGAGCTCAAGATGCTCGATGCGGTGGCGGCGGCCGGGGGTGCCGACTTCCGCCAGGACATCGATGGCCTGCTTCACGGCTTTGTCGCCGATGGCGTGGATGGCGCACTGTAGTCCCGCCTGGTCAGCGCGCCGGACGACGGCTTTAAGCATGTCCGCGGGCCAGATGGGCTCGACGGGATCGGTCCGGTTGCCGTAGGGCTGGCTCAGGGCCGCTGTGCAGCCGTCCACGACGCCATCGCAGATGATCTTTATACCCATGATGCAGAAATCGGGTGAGCTGGTACGGTTGAACTCGGCCTGCAGCTGGATCGCGCGGTCGACGTGGTGGAAGTTGGTTTCTTGATTCTCTGAAAAGGGGACGAGCCAGTGTGCTGCGACGTGCAAAGGTGGGTTGTTGTATTGCCGGTAGAGCCGGAGAACGTCCCAGGTGTCTTCGTCCATGGCCATGTCGACGAGACCGGTGTAACCGGCTTGCGTGTATGCCGTGAAAGCTTGGTCAAGGGCCTTGAGCTTTGCCTCTTGAGTGGTGACCTTTGCGAGAAATGGCCAGACGATGTCGACCACGGCACTTTCTCTCAGGAGACCTGATGGTCTTCCGTCCTTGTCGCGGTGGATCGTCCCGCCTGGTGGATCGGGGGCAGTGTAAATGCCCATTTCCTTCAGGGCAGCAGAGTTGCACCAGATTGAGTGTAGGTCCAGAGATTCAATATGAATTGGTCGCGGGTCCAAATCATCTAGCATACTTGCCAGAGCGATCCCACTGGTTGTCGATTGAATCCATCCTCGGCAGAGAAGCCGAGGAGCGGCAGGGTGATTCGTTGAAAAAGCTTTGATTGCCTTTCGAATATCCTCTAGACATGTACACCCCATCAAGTTGAGCCTCCCCAAGGACAGACCAAAGTTGAGAATGTGCACATGGCCGTCGATGAAGCCGGGGACGACAAGGCGGCTTTCGAGGTCGATTATATTGTCTGCATAGGGAGCCTCCCTCCGTGAGCCCACATAGATAATTTGATCATCTTCGACAACCATCGATTCCACGAATTCATTGTGTGCATTCGGGTTATTTGATGAGGGCGAGAATATCCGGCCGTTCGTGAAGATGGTCTTCATGGTGGTTCAGTTGCAGCTGTGGCGAATCCGCCTGTATCGACCTATTGCTGCCATATATAACCTGTCTTTTTCTGTGGTATCTAGGAAGATAAGAGTCTCCTTGACTTGCCCTTTTGAGAGTTCTTAACAGTGAGATCTGCTTTGATATATTGCAGTCCACAGTTTATCGTGATTGGCTGATAAAGAATACAGCTGGAGATGAAGAGCCCCACCTGGACCGCGGAAAGTGACGCCATTGGCCAGATTGATGCTTTACTACATCATATGGCTATATTTTTGATGATGCCATGTATCTTTCAGGCAAGAAGATACTCAGTCGGCTGATAATGAGCTCTTGATGGGTGAAACGAGAGCAAACTCAGGTATTTGACAGTTGGCTTCATACCCAAACGAGCATGTCCACCCGAGCAGTGCAATCTGTAGAGATATAAGTCTGCTCGTATGCCCTCACGTCTGCGTCAATCCTATCCCATAGCTGAGAGTCAATTTCTACATCATGTCCGACCAATGCTGCGCTGGAAAGCGCCCCTCTTGTGCACCGTCTACTCATCCGCTAGGTATGTCCCGAACCTCCTAAAAGAATTGTGCCACACTAATATGTATAGACCCTCTCTCCATTGACGAGATTACCACCGCTGCTTCTCTCTTACGACAACATGCGCACCCAACCACCCTCAAATTCAACTGCATCACCCTCCACGAGCCGCCAAAAGGTGAGCTGGTGGCTTTCCTGGCCGGAACTGGACCCCGTCCTGCCCGTCGGGTCTTCTCCATCGTGTTCAAGAAGGGCACTCCGGAGGTCTCCGAGGCTATTGTCAATCTGACCACCAAAAAGGTTGAATCGTGGAAGAACGTCAAGAACGTTATGCCGACGCTGACCCTAGATGATCTCAACATCATCGAGCGCGTCGCCAGCAAGGATCCCCGGATCATTGAAGCATGCCGGGACATTGGCATCACCGATATGTCTCGGGTCTATTTTGATGCCTGGGCTATCGGGATTGACGAGCGCTGGGGCTTTGAGCGCCGGCTGCAGCAGGCACTGCCCTATTACCGCAGCTCAAAAGATGACAATCAGTATGCGCACCCGCTTGATTTTACTGTTGTTGCCGACACAGAGACAGAGGAGATCCTCAGCGTGGATGTCAGATGTGTGAATGGAGAACGTACTCCAGTGCCTTTGGACGAGCATAATTATCTCCCGCAGTTTATCAAAGATCAGTATCGTCCGGAGCGCCTGAAACCCATTGATATCACGCAGCCAGAGGGCGTTTCGTTCAAAATGAATGGCAATGAGATCGAATGGGCCGGACTCAAAATGCATGTTGGGTTCAACTACCGCGAAGGCATCGTGTTATCGAACGTCCGGATTGATGACCCATACGAGAACCGCGAGCGGAAGCTCTTCCACCGCGTCAGCGTGGTGGAGATGGTGGTCCCATATGGCTGTCCCAAGCCACCGCATCACAAGAAGCACGCCTTTGACGTGGGTGAATATGGCACTGGGTTCATGACCAACTCGCTCAAGCTCGGCTGTGACTGCAAGGGCGCCATCCACTATCTGGACGCTGTCCTGGCCACATCCACTGGCGAAGTCACCGTCATCGAGAACGCCATCTGCATCCACGAAGAAGATAATGGACTCCTCTACAAGCATACCGACTTCCGAGATGGAAGCGTCATCTCAGCTCGGGACCGCAAACTGATCGTCTCCCAGATCATCACCGCGGCCAACTACGAGTACGCCTTCTATCACACCTTCACTCTGGACGGAACATACAAGCTCGAAGTCAAGCTCACGGGCATGCTCAACACCTACTGCCTGCACCCCTCCGAACAAGCCGCCCCCTTCGGCACGGAGGTAGCACGCGGTCTCGACGCCCAGAACCACCAACACATCTTCTCCCTGCGCGTCGACCCGGAAATCGACGGCCCCAGCAACACCGTCGTGCAGAGCGACGCCGTTCCCATGGACGACCCCGTCGGATCCCCCGCCAACCCCTACGGCAACGGCTTCTACGCCAGAAAGACACCCCTGCGGACAGCCCTCCATGGCGCAGCAGACTACTGCCACGAAACCTCCCGCGGCTGGGACATCATCAACCCCAACCGCCTCAACCCGTGCACCCGCAGGCCCATCGCCTACAAGATCCTCAACAACAACTGCCCGAAGCTGCTGGCGAAACCCGGAAGCCCGGTATACAAGCGCGCCGGGTTCGCGCGCAAGGCGCTCTGGGTCCTGCCCTACCGGGATTACGAGGTGTTTCCTGCAGGGCAATACGTGTGCCAGTCAACGGGGGAAGAGGGCCATCCGTACAACGCGACGATCGTCGACTGGGCGGCGAGGGACGAGTGCATCGAGAATACGGATATCGTGTGTTATATCCAGTTTGGACTGACGCATTTCCCGCGCACGGAGGACTTTCCGATCATGCCTGCGGAGCCGGTGAGTGTTACGCTGCGGGCGTCGAATTTCTTCCAGAAGAACCCGGCGCTGTGGGTGCCGCCTTCGGATGCGGTGGGGGATCTGAGCTCGAGGAAGGCAGTCGAGGCGACGCCGAGGTTGTAGTTCGGAAGAAGATTGGAGTCTATTGCTGTGTGTTGATGTATTCACCGTGCAAATTATATGTATTCATGACATTCTGTTGAAGAGCTGTTTAGGTTCAGCTTCTATATACTCACCGTCCGATACACCCTTTCTCTCCCCTAGCTCTCCTACTTCTTCCTCTCTTTAGAGAAGGTTTCCATTCTAACCAAGGAGAATTGGCGTTCATCTCCTAGCAGAGTTGAGGCCAAAACCCATGAGCTGTCCAAGAATATGGAATTATTCAAACCAGAATACAAGTCCAGTCATCATACGACTGGCGTCAATTAGACCAGTGTATTCTTCAACCTGGTGATAGTAGTAATTAGCGCCTACAGAATAGCAGATAGATAGCTCATAGCTGTTGGTAACGCCGGCAACTTCCGAGCTCCACCGCCGCTCCCGTGACTCGTGATCAATCAGTTCCCCTGGCGTTCGTTTGCTTGTAAAGACCAGATCCGCCGAGTTCGAATATCTACAGAAGATATGTGAGCGAGTATCGATATCTATGCTCTGCGATGGCAGATTGCACCGCTAGGACACAAAAGTCCTACCGTCGACCTCGACGGCGTCCAGCTCATTTGCGGACGAAGACTGGATGTCTAACTTGTAAGCTTTCCTCCCAGACATCTTTCAGGATTGCTAATTATCCAGGCCGATCACGAAAGAAGAAGTGTGATGAGAGGGGCTCACCGTGCCAGAACTGCCTAAAACGGGGTATAGAATGCATCTGGCCAGGTACGAGAGCAAGCCATGTCAATGATCAAGCGAGAGATCCTGGGAGTAGTAGCGTGTCGGGAGAATCTGTCTCAGGTACAGAATGTCGACTTGTTGATCCTCAGACACCATCTATAATCACCTTCTCAAATGGAACAGGGTGCTACTCCGCGGCACTAACTCCTGCCAACAGCCAGCTATTTGACTTTTTGCAGACCATCTTCCTTCCGCAGCTCATTCACCCAGTAACCAAAGGGGCTGTGAACGAGCTGGTGACTAGGGAGAGCCTTCGATGGGCATTTCAATCTCCTTTCTGTATGCATGCACTTCTCGCCTGTGCTGCCGCAGAGATACCTGTCAACAACCCGCAGTACCGGCGAATGGCAGAGCTGCATTACACCAAGGCTGTTTCTGGCTTGCGGCAGAGCCTTATCCAAACCAGTGGCTCGAGTCAGTGGACAGTCGTGTTGTGGACAGTGCTGATTTTATGCATTTATGAGGTGAGAGGAAGAAGCATGGGTTTTTGATCAGATCTAACAATGACAGCGTTCCAAACCCCACCACTCGCAAGGCGTTGATGTCCATCTCGCCGGGGCAGCTCAGCTGATTCAGATGTACTTTCGAAAGAGGATACCCGATGCGAGCCCTATTGCAACAGATGTCTGGATGCCCCGCTTATTTCTGGAATCATTCATATTTCACGTCGCGACGAGTATGCCGTTTCAGCATACATCTGCCCAATCCACTACTATCGATTCTGCCTTCTCCCTTGCGGAAAACATACTGGAGGTTCTGTGTCGACCACATATTTCCGTGGATGCTACCTCACCAGTCCTCGGGGTACCTCCGAAACTGTTCCAGTACATCTACACCATCGCTCGTATGTACCAACAGTACCCCGACGGCGTTGATCTCTCACACTGTGAAGAGCTGGAGCAGGATCTGAGACGGTGGGATACCCTAATGGCAGGCACAGCAGCGCCTGAGGTCCTTGCAGGGCCTAGACTGTACGTCTTATGCTCGCGAATCCTTCTCAATCGCCTGACTCATCCCGCCGGCAATCAACCAGACAATTTGGTCAGCGAGCTTGTTTCACAAGCCATGATTCTTGTCACTCAACTACGGCCAGCACAAGACTACTTTGCCGAGTACTACAGTTGGCCATTCCTGGTGCTTGGGACCTGTGCAGAGAAGCAACCAGATCGGCAGATACTGCTGTCACAAATCCAGGGCTTCTGGCAGGCAACCAACAATGGCACCATGAGACGGCTTGAGAATATGCTGACGGCCCACTGGACTGATGGAAACAAAGCAGCCGCGCAGAGTCACTTGTGGTTGATATCGAACATGACAAATTCAGACCGACCTGGGAAATATTGAAAAACACTATCAAAAGATCAGTTTTGGGTCTTAAAGGGTCTCTGTATCAACCTCGGTCAGTGAGACCATTTCCCATTTCCAGCATCTTTCATCAGATCGACACACAAAACAGCCAATGAGGGTAAGACTGCTTGAACTGGCCAATGGCAGTATACATAGAGTGGGCCACATTCTCTCCCCGTCGAGGCATTTGTCAGCGCTCCCTCCTCTGGTGCCATTTATCCGATAGAGCCACTTCCTATCCGATATCCGTACTTGGACACATTGAGTATTTATACACGCAATCATGTCTTCTCTTCACCCTCTTCCACTTGTGCATTCGCATCTCTCTTTGGACGACATTACCTGACAGCATGGGTTCCAACGCCTTCCAATCCCCCGCCGTCACCAAGTCCCCCGCGACCCCCTACTTC